TCGATTTTCCAACACCAGAATCGCCGATTAGCACAAGCTTAAACAAGTAATCATAATCATCGTCAGCTCTGTAAGCACCCATTTTCACGTGTGTATGTGTATGCGTATATATACACACACTATATGTGTCTCTATAAATCTGGGTTCGTGTATATTATCAAACTGGGAAGAGAGAAAGGGTTGAATTGAAGCTAAGATTTATACAACGTTATGAAAGAGAGCCTGGCAGACTATTCCATTCTTGTCTTATGAAACGAAAGTGTTTGATTTTTAGGATACCTCTGCATCAATGGTTCACAGAATTGAACTCCTACACGAAATAACAGTGAACATAATTTTACTTCTCTACAATATGCGTCTAGAGATTGAATCCATTAAGAATGCTCGATCAATAACCTCTCTTCGTTCACACTTGGCCGCGTTCCAGCTCATTTTCGACCCCTTCACATAAATTCAAAATTATTTCCTATTTTTTAACCAAATATTTCTCAAAAATTTACTATTCAAAAACTCAAATCTTTTTTAAAGAGAACTGTCTTCAAACAGGGACTTAGCAATTACACCCATCAAACTATCGTTTTCGTTAGTCGAATACAATTAGATGATTTGACACGTATCATAGGCACTACATAAAACAATTTTCACTAGTAGAGTGTAGGCAACACTAATTTGTTTCGGAAAAAATCATTGAAAAGATATGTTTTAAAGTAATATTCAAGTCATTCATAAACATGCTAGGTTCCAATAAAATGACTTCGTTAAGTTTTCATCGTGGTTGATATTTCTTGTAATTAGAATAGCGTGTGCAGTTCGTGATATAATTAAAAGTTGAATTCACACTGTATTCCTTTGGTTCTTTAGTCCACGGTTCGAGGCGATATACATGAATATATTTTCATTTTGCTGTCCTCCAAAGAAGGAAAAGTGTCTTCACAATCCTTTTGCAAAATAAGATCAACTTGACCTCCTTTATATTTACAAAATTGGGAACACGTGTTTTGCCAAATTAAAATATCTTCTAAGAACAATTGTGCAATATTCCACCAATTTTTGAGTTTTATCTAAAGTCATACATTCAAAAAATATTATTTATCATTATGATTGTTAGGCAAATTGTTGTCAAACGACCTCCCCCGGGCGATGATGAATTACGTTGTATTAATTCAGTCGGCATAGTCCAAACGACTGAAAGTTAATCGAACACCACAATTGGTAAACCGCCCCTAAACCGACCCTAAACTTGGATGGCCCACCTAT